ACGTTTACACAAATTACTTGCGCCAAATAGCAACAAAGCGTAGCTGCTTTGAACTAAAAAAGAATTAACTTGTACTTGTTGCTATTGGCACTAAAAATATTTCGCAAAAAAATCTGCATAAATAAATAAACCTGCGAGTAGCGATAAGGAATTGTATGCTAAATGCATATTTTATGAGAAGTTCTAGGTCAGCTTATCGTTATATTAACAAATTTAAAAAAAAAAAACTAAATTACTTTGTTTTGCAGTCGAAAATTGGCGCATTAAATGATTTTGTAAAAAAAGAAAAGCAATAATTTAATTAGCAAAAAATGCTTTAGCACAACTAGTTTTTGCTTGAAAAAATTCCAAATGTTTAAGTAGAATTTTTTTATTTTTTATTTTACTCTTCTAAGCGCCAAACATATTTTACATTGACCCATATTCGGTGACTGTTTTCGTAATTATGTTTTCTAACAAATATTTGCCACAATGTAATATTATGGAAAATATTTCCAGTCAATTTAACTAATGCAACGCAATTCTAAGCTACTGTTGTTTATCCATAATTTTGTTTGAAAATAAAATACTCTAAACTATGTCATAATTACCTCAAATGTGGGTGGCAGAGTACGCAATCATTTGTTTGAACATTTGTTACAATTCCACGCGCTATGTTTTCTTAATTAATTAGTGCAGTAGACGCAGTGTGACAACTATTCTGAATGACAAAAAATTCAAACAACTGCGGCAATAGCAAATATTTACATCAATTTCATTTGTTATCGAAGGTCGTGTTCTCATTCCAGTTTTCAGTGGTTATTATTAGTGTGCCGCCGAGGACATAGTAGCCACTATTAGAAATATATACTGTTACTTGTTAGTTTAACTTAAAACCAAACTCGATTTCGATGAACGATTTTGACTTCCTTTGAGAGAAAAGAGAAAAGTTTTCCGAACGATTTATGACCGATTGCGCATTGGCTACGGCGAATAGCGCCGTCGATGGAGCAATGATATATTTACGTCGACATTGATATAGCTCAAGGCATAAAGAGACAGCAGCTACTTTGGTTAGGTCATAATGCCCGAATAGATCAAAGCGCTCCAACCTTTAAAGTATCCGAGTAGAAGCCGCTGGTGGAAACAGAGGAAGAGACAGACCCCCACTTCGTTGGAAGTACCAGGTCGAAAGCGACCTGATTTCACTGAAATTTCCAACAGGTAGCAGGCAGCGAAGAGAAGGAACGAATTTAATTTTTCAAGTATTTTTTTACACTTTTGAGGAGAATATGATAACGCAGTATTATTATTTAGCTGAAGCTCGGAATATGCGGGTTTATCTGCAGGTTTTTCGCATAACTCTGAAAACTCTGCTCTGCATAGACTTTTCTGGAAACAGGCTACCATTTCTACGAACCTTTTTTTTTTTTTTTAAACAGAATTGGCTGCAATGAAGGAGGCGCTGATGCTTCAAATCTGGTTTGAAAAGCACTATTATTCACGCAACTTGGTGTAGTTAATTTGACTTCCTGCTGATTAAAGGTTCTACAACCTTACATCTGCCGAACGACTCTCAGATTTCGTAATCCAATGCTTTCTACAATAAATTGAAGGCTTGCTACGCCAAAAGTCTCTAATAGTCCTACAATAATCCTGGTGCTTTTTCGTTTTTGCTATCAAAAACTACTTAAGCTTTGCGTTTATTTATTTATTTTTTTTTTGCTCGTGGCCATAATCTGATCGCTTGACGACTTTCACTTTTTTGACTGGAACTCGTAGAACCACAGTTACGACTTGCTCGAACCGCACATCGTATCAGTCAGTTCATCAGCTATCTGATTCCAGTGGATGTTCATTTGAATCGACATCCAGTAATTTGGAACTCTCCATTTCTCAGCTTGTCTTTTGATCCCCTTCTTAAGTCTTACAATCCGGTCGATTAGGGGGTGTATGATAAATATATATTTTTCTTCATGAGAAGGCCTCCTTTCCATCATTGCTCTGCCGTCACCGTTATTGCAAAAATTTCGACTTGGAAGATACGGCAATAACAACTTAAGGAATCCCACAAAACTCAGCCTTTTGCTCCAGGCATTCGACTCTATTTTAGCCTGAATCAGCTTTGCAAAAGTCAGGTGCATAGGGCCGACTCCACTAGTTAATATCCAACATCATATTATAAGTTTCGCCTGAATCCATGTTGGAATTATTTATTTCCTTTTGAATAGAGCCAGAACTGTTAACCTAAGGTGGCCAAACATCTAACGCTCAATACCAATGTAAGCATGGCTACCTCCCCTTCCATCATCATCAGCAATATATTACACTCCAGCCTATGCTGTTCCTCTGTTAAAACCTCTCGTCACTAACTTAAGTATAATAAAAAACTTTAATTCCGGGCCAAGTTATATGAACGGATCTCACTTAGATGATATTACGTCCTGTTTTATTCACCAAATGAAGTAATCGTTTTGAGCCCTTGGCCTTTGAGGACTGAAGTCAAGTAAACATAGTCTTTTGCCTGCCGAAAGCTGGACACTCATCGCATACAGATTATCTAGAAAAATATTCCCAAATTCTAACGTCCACACAACGTCATGTAACGCTGCGTCTTAGGCTTTGTCATTTGTGTAGGAGTGCAATGCTTCCGAAAAGGACCTCTGATGAGGAGTTCACTTAATGAGCACATCCACAAGGGGCTCCAATGCTTTAAGAAAAAATTAAACTAAGTGAAGGTACAAATTATTATTTTATTAACCATCTCTTTGTCGACTAAACCCTTTCTGACAGCACGAAAGTCAACTTGAGCTCTACTCACTTCATACTTAACCAAGAGGTGATTAAGGACCTTAAAAAATAATTGTTAAACAACGGAATTTTGTACGGGCAGCGGAAGCTTGAACAACGGCAACATCCAATACCGTAGCTTAAAGAGTTAACCAAAGAAAGGGTCCTATATCTACTTGTATGTTTAGGAGAGGGCGAATACCCCAGCTGATGAAACGATGGACTGTATCAAGTAAGTGGGTAAACCGATGTGGTGCCAATCATCAACAGGGAAAATATTTACTGGCGCACTATTACTACTTGGCACATAAATGGCGAAAACTCAACCCCAACTTGACAGCATTGTGAAGGACCAGTTAGCTTCATTTTTTGTATAAACTGGACTTCCTATGGATGTACATAGTCCGAGTCCAAAATTTGGCATAGTGTGCCGTAAGAAAGTCCCAGTCCCTTGAGAACGTCGAGAAATGTATACATTCAGGTCTTCTGCTACACTTTCACTTATAGCAGCGATATTTGAGATGAAACGAGCAGAAACATGATGCATAGTCCTTGTAATTAGAGAACCAGATACTCGGGTATCGAGCACTGTGAGCAGCTCGATACTAGATCGGCAGTCGTTCGTTGCTCAACTTCTCAAACGATATTTAATTTGAAATTTTTCAAATCTTAATCTTGTTTATCAAATTTTATTCGGTATTCCAATAAGTTTTACATTTTGGGTAAATATAGTTCAAATTATAGGAAGGAGTTCGAGGAAGAAAGTCAAATTTTTGATTTAAAACGCTGAAAAATATTTGAATCGCTCGAGTTCACAATGAAAGATGACGTAGGACCTATTTTTTCGATGTGAAAAGTCATTCTGGATTAATATATATAACAGAAAATATACGAGAAACTTCAATAGATCACAAAAACGCTGAGCAGACGCCCAGAGTTGTGCATTTGAATAAAAAAAAAATGAAAATGAACAATTTACCCATTTCCCCAAAGAATGTCTGAGGATGACGCTAAATAAGAATTACAAATTTAGATCGAGAAAATTGTAAGCGCATAACGCACTGACTTCGGATCACCGTACGAAATCTGCAAAACCAAAAATCCATTCGATTTCATAATCATTTATTAATGAAAACATAATATCTATTTCGATAGCAGGAAAAACATTACGTCCAACTAAAGTGCAAATGAACTCACTATTCCACTGCACAGCAGTTAATTCAGTCAAAGCTCAGCAGCATCTTAACGGCCACACACGCGCTGGCCCAGCCACTCAGCCATTCAAGCGCTCAGCTTACAACAGTTTTATGAGTGCGAACAAACAACAACAAAGACAATTGTTATTGTTGCATTTTTACTTAATTTTGGCTTAAGTTTATTTATATTTTATTTTCATTTCATTTTTTTGCTTTTTGTGTTGCTTTACCTTTTGCTTTAATCTCTTAGCTCCATTTTCATTGTTGGCTGACTTCAATACGCTGTTCATGTTGTTGTTATTTATTTTTGTTGATGTGTCTGAGTATAGTTGAGGTTTTATTACTTTTTTCGATTTTTTGTTGTTGTTTTCGTTGTTGTTGTGCAGTTGTTGGTTATTGTCACAATTGCGCAATAATGAGTGACTTTAGCGGAGATCTCAAGTTTTGCTGCGCACCACGATTGCGGCGAAGCACAAAGCTACAGTTTTAGTTGTTGAAATATGGAGGAGCTTTTTTACAATGGATTTTTGCATTTTCAACACATACACACGTCGTTTTTGGAGCTGTACAGGCGTTTTGTATTTTTAAAATATTTTTTTTTTTTGCAGGCCGGCTGTTGCGGCTAACAGCTGTTATCTTGCGAGTAATAGAGCCGCGCGCTGCCGCTACTACTACTACTACTCATGCACATACACATATATGTACTTACAACGTGATTGTGCGCTCCAGCTCCAGCTCCACCTAAACGCCTTCCTCGCTTAGTTGGGCGCCTCGATGCATTTACAACGTAGACATATTCGCTTGGCTTACTGTTGACGTCGCCGCTAACTTTGCCGTCGCCGCCCCACATATATTCCGTCAGCAACACAGTCCGCTAGTCACTCAGTCTCAGCCAAGTTTTTACTCATGCGTTGTTGTTGGCTGTTTGCGTATGTGTGTATGTGTTTTTTTTCGCTTAGCGTGCACTGCTTGCCTGACGCTTTACTTGGCTAGCAAGCGTTTTCAATTTCGTTCAGTTGCTTTTCGGTTCGTGAAGTGATCTGCCGCATACCAAAAACGAACGCGTCTTATTGCACATAAAGGAATACTTTTTTTTTTTTGGAGCAGCCGCTTGGAAAACCATATCCAACCATATCCAACCATACCATACCCGTTTCGGATTTCCTTTTTTCAACCAACAACGGCAACAACAACAACAAAAGTATTGAAAATAATTACGATCAGAAACGTGAGTGAAGTGTTACATTTATATACACCGTTATCTATTTACCTGCCTACTCACTGAGCAATATTGCATTTTCATATTTTGTATTGATTTTATTTGGTGTTAACGGTGTTGAAAGAAATTCAGTTCGCTAGAGACTAAATGGAAAATGAAAGTGAAAAATATTATGAGAATGGCTATTAAGGTCGAACACAAACACGCATACATAAGTATAAATATAGTCTTCAAGAAAATCTAGTTTTTGGTCTTCGCTCGAAAGGCATATGAGTATCCTGTCAAAGGCTTCTCCTTAAATTAAATTAAATTCTGTTGCCACCGGCAGATAATGTCAATACGTGCGAGTATATCCTTCCATTCAAGGATCTTCGGTAGGAAGTTATTAGGGACATTTTCAGCCAAAAACTGCTCATAAAAATATCCATCCACCGCTCGGAGGTAGCTCAGAATAAACTGCAGGTCTTTCCATTTTGTTGAAAGAAACATCCGAATTTATGCAACAACTTGGAGGTAGAGCTCGGCGGAAAATCGATTCATAGATTACGAAGCTTCAAAGGTTACCTGAGTTGCGATTGGCAAGCTTTCCCGATATACTCACAAATCATCAAGGAGAAGAAGCTCCAATGCGAAGTCAAGGATATTGTAGGAGATCTGCATAAGCTGTCATATATAATTGAACGCTTGTTGAATTGCCGATAAAAAATCTGTTCGGTAAAAAGTCTGTCTGCAGTGCGCTTGACATTTCTGTGAGCGTTGTGGCTCTGACAGGTTTAACCAAAGGGGAGAGAAACAGAAACTCAAGTGTATTTATCTTCATTTAAGAACAGAGAATTCAAAGTCTTTCTGTAATGATAGGAAAAGAAACTAACCGGCTTTGCTCTCCTAAACAATGTATATTTAGAAATCATTCAAATGCTCGGTGTTAGACTCTATCTTCCTCAAAGAACTACAGATGACTTACGAGATATATTGAACGTATTTGTTTCGATACCCCCAAAAAGTGTATTACAATTAAAGATTGGCTTGATCTGCTGAGCATACCAAAATATTAGACTAACACGAAGGTGATCTTACACCCAAAGGTAGGTAGGGCCAGTAGTGATAGTGAGAATAACCTGGAGTTTTAAGTGCCCTGAAAGATGCCTTTGAATAGCCTCCCGCAAATGTTTGCGGGCACATACATATTGTATAATAGTGTTGCTCTCAATATGATACTTGCGGAGATCGTAAAAGCGCTTGCAGGGGAATAAGACCCTCAAGCATGTATATTCTATGCAGAGCGAAATTTCGATTCAAAAGTGTTTTCTTTGAGGCTAACTCAGTTCAGGTAAAATTCGTAAAGATTTTTCTAGTTGTATATGAATAAAATAGAGGAGGTGGTAGTACTCTTTTTCTCTCTCTCTCTCTCTCTCTCTCTCTCTCTCTCTCTCTCTCTCTCTCGGTGAAGCCGCTCTTATTTCCTTAGTTTATTAGTTATTGAGTTTGTTTGATAGCGGAAAACTGATCAATCGCACTTAAGCCTGCTTACCCGTTGTCATACCTATGTTGGGCCTGTCAAAAAGGTTCGATTATCTTTTTAACACAAAGAAAAACTTCTGAATTTTATTCCTGCATGGTGATCTTCAAGAACAAGTTGCCAAGCAAAAATACCGTATGTAGCTCTAGACGTTCTAGTGTGATAGATCGCTGCTAACAAAATCTTGTATAGAAAACTCTTGGAAAGAATACAGCGGCTCGCTACACTGTTGTAACAGAAAGGATCACCCCGCTAAGCGTCATCTAAGAGATTATTTGTCCCACCATGAATCGACATCGCAGAAGGATCGATGACCTTAGGTGAACTCTCCACTAGAACTTTCAGTCACGATTCGTGATTCAGGACGATGGAAAGCAAAAGAGGATTGCATTCCTTAAAAAGGAGGTTTCAAGCTACACTAAAGGAATAAGGATAACACAGAAACACGTGCCGTGCATGTAGGGCATATAACATCTACAGCGATGGATAACAAATGGCAGATGAAGTGGGCGCCGGAGAATATTGCACTGGACTAGACCTCAGATAACCCTTAAATCTTCTTTTATATTTTCCAGCCAGAAGTCTTCGCTTTAAGAAGACCTGTTGGGATAGCTAACAACGCAGGATCAATATATACATATAATATGTAAACAGTCAGGCGGCAATGATCTTAAAAACCACCTAGATACTGTGGAAATCGGCATCATCGGTAACGGCATCAAAATAAAAGTTCATTTCTAACAAACACTGTCATGCAAGGACTACAAGACTACCTACTGGCACCCCACGCAAGAAGAACGTGCATTACTAGGAGTGAAACGTCTTCTGTTTCAGTCCGGTCTCAGTCAGAACTCGTCATGTCTCACTACAATAGATGAACGAGTCTATGTAAGACGCACTGACCTAACATTCAAATCAGCTCTTACGTAGTTGCCTTAAAGGCACCCAAATAAATATTCTGCGTCGGTCCCTCTCTTATGCTATGTTGTTCGATAGTTTCGACATAGAGAAGTAGCAACAGTTTGCAACGAACTGGTGCTCGAAAAGTGAGAGTGGTTTTATAGGCCACATAAATGGTCTCTCATATTCGCTTGAGCGCGCATAGGTTAGATTGTAGTGGCTACAGCTCTATCGGGCTGGATTCACTTAGGTCTGACTAAGATCCATTGTAATACCACAAAAACTTAACCATCAGGTTTCATTATCCATCCATTTAGATTCTTTAGGGAGCATCTTGAGATTTATCTTCGATAGACCAACCAGCGGTAGGGTCTCAAATTCCGAAGCCTAGTCTTGCTCAAAGTAAAACAGTCGTATAAGATATGGGTGCTAGTTTCCTCCACTTCTTTCTCCTTGCAGCTTTTGCAACATCTTCTGTAGGAAGCTCCTAGTCTCTCCGCGTGTCGTCCTCTCAGACGGAGTGGCCTGTCAGAACTACTTTGGACACGTCACCTCTTTTTAAGGTGTACATCTCGTGATCCCTTCCAACACATTTCGGCCACGTGTACCTTTTTGCGGTTTGTGAATATGTAAATTCTACGAGAAGCAGTTTGCAAGTGGCATAAGGCATAGCAATGAGTTCTTTATCGAGAAGAATCTGCTTGGTCGTACCTTGCCTAGCAAGTTCAGCCGCCTTACAGTTTCCCTCGCCATATCAAATAAAGTCAAGTAAATTAGAGGGGGAGTTCTTTGATAAAATATTTGCTTAATTTTTGCGACCGTTAAGCAGCTATTTCGGCTTCATTCTATTAAAATCAAAGTGTGTAGATGTCTGTGTAATATAATCACACCAACAATTATCACTCGTGTGATCCGCAGTACTTAAATACTCCCATAATAATAAGCCACCAATTTTTTTCTCTTGTAAATAAAGGTAAAATTAATTGGCCAACTGAAAAAAAAAGAAAAAAAATTTGCAAAAAAAAATATGCCTAATCAGTTGGGAAAGTTTTGCTCTTTTTCAACTTGTACACGTCAAACAACAAAAACACTAATTGCAACAAACAGCTAAGTGAATGCCATTCAAACTGCAGCAGCAACAAATTGAAAAGGGTGCGAAAGTAACGCAATGCCACCAACACACGCCATAAATTTGACACTTTGCTGATGAACCTTAGCTGGGATAAGAGAAAAATTAGAAAAAAAAAAAACAAAAAATACTAAACAGCAAAAACTATAAGACCCAAAGGCCGCAGCAGAAAAGTAAAATAGCAGTTGATGGTGACACCACAGCTCGACTAAACAAAGCTCAGCTGAGCAGAGCAACAACTACTCGTATATATACATATGTAATATGTATATATGTATGTATTGTAGTATGCAGCAATAGTAGCAAGCGCAATCGGCGCGCCAGTAATGCGGTAGCAGGGAAAAAGTATTGTTAAGATTTTCACTTTCATTCAGTTCAAGTGGCATCAGCCTGCTGTTGTTGGTTTTAGTGTTGTTGTTGTTGTTGTTGTTGCTTTTGTTGATGAATGAATGCTTTTCTCATTGTTTGCTGGTGTTTTTGCGCTTCAGTTTGTTATTATTTTTATTTTTATTTATTTTTTATTTTTTTTTATTTTGTTTTTGTCATTTTGTTTTCTTTGCTTTGCACCCCAAGCATCGTTAATTAAGTAAAACAAAAAAAGCGGCGGGAGATAAAGAAAGCATTTCTCTTAATTGAAAGTTTATTAAAAATGCGAATAGTAAAATTATTAGCACAATTAAAGTGAGGCAACAACAACAAGTGCATATTTATTTACCGCAAAAAACTCACAGAATGAACTTTAAACTAAAGCAAGTCATTAAAGTCAATGAGTCTGAGGTGGTGGCGGCGAAATTTTACTCATTTGCCTGGAGACAATAACAATAGGAGTAAACTAGTGAGACTAAGTTTGGGAGGAATCGTACAATAGTAAGCCCCCCCCCCCCCACCGGTTACACATGTGAGAAGTCAGTCGGTCGGTATTTAGGTTTTTTTAATTAATTAATTCTATCTCTTCGAATCAATACAGAGTCAAATGTAGTTATTACGAATAAAATCTGCAGTCTTCAATGTGCAGGGCATTCCATTTTGTGGTTTCGAAAATAAACGTAAATAAAACGCTATTAAAATGATTTATTCCCATGGAATTCGTTTCTTAATATAATGTTTGAAACTTGGCATTATATATGGATAAGTGAAGCCCTACATCGTTCAAATGACCGCCTTGCGAACTTTTTCAAACTTCGATCCGTTTGAGGTAATTTTCGAACACTTTTTGGCGCTTGTTTTTTAAGTGCTCAAGAGTTTATGGCTTATCCGCATAAGCACAGTCTTTCACGTAGCCCAACATAAAGACAAGTCCAACGATGTCAAGTCGCACGATGGCTGTATCCAGCGACGAGAGACTATGCGTTTGGGAAATTTCTCTCACAATCAAACCATTACCACACGTGTTGTGCAGCATGTGGCACCATTTTGTTGAAACAACATATTGTCCAAGTTGGTTATCATACGACTATAATG